GTCATCAGTCTGACTTTTTAGCAATCCAAACACAAAATATCACCATTGATGCAATTTGGGTGTATGTCTCAGAGTTGTTTTAAGATAATACATTCTATAGATTTAGTATAGGATTCTGTATAGGGTATTGGGTTATTACCTAACAAAGATATTAATCACCATGACAGATAAGCAGCAGCACTATTCACACTCTCTGAACTGACACATCAAGTAGATCCATTGCTAATTAGGATGATGATGGCCAGGAATTAAAATTAAAATTTAAACGCACCTGTTTATTCCCTACTTCTTAAAATTATTCCTCTGTGTTCCATCCTTTCCTTCTTACAAATCTGGCAGCCCCTTGTGCGACTCTGCTAAACAGGTTCTTGTTAACGCATGATAACGATGATAAATGAAGGAAAAGAAAGTAGCCATTAAGCTATTAAAATCTAAATGTATACTGTTAAAGTACACACAGCACTTACCTAGGTTTAACTTGCTTTCCTAAGCCAGGGAAACAAAATGATACAGAACAGAAGATCTAAATCACCTACGATGCAACAGTGACCTGCACAATGCCTTGGAAGTGCTTAAACATACATCACCATTTTCTTTACAAGAAAGCTTTACAGGAAAGCTTGAAAGCTTTACAAGAAAGCTACCTTGCCATATGAACGCCTGCTCACTTTCTTCATGGCTTTCCAGAATACATTAAACCTCTATATTATTTAGTGCTACTTAGGCCCTAATGTCTCAAAAGACGCATTGATATTTTCCTGAATGTGGCTGTGCAGCCAGCAGGTTTCGACTCATGAAGGATGGGAGTGAATAATTTTTTAAGCTATAATTTTTAGACAACCTGTAGAAAACATCACTAGACAGGAAAGAAAGGTAGAAGGAAAACATACAAAAGGAAAAAGGTAGAAAAAAAAATGCGCTTCCGTAGTGATTTGTCATGGGAACCTAATATAATCTTATGTAAAGAACAGGTATAGCAGTGTATAAAACTACTTCAGATGAATGATATTTGGCTTCCTGGAAGGAGCATGAAGCAAACAAGGAATTCACCCATGTGGACCTGGAAGCCTGAGAACAGTCAGCATTTCTGAGTTTCCTGGGAGCGCCAAACGCTCAGGAAGAGCAGAAGTGGACGGAGTTGCACTCAAAAACAAATGATATTGAGAAGCAATCAGAGAATCTAGAGAAATAGTTGAGGTGAACCTCTTCCCAGAAATAAGCTATTGCCTGCCTTGTTGAACAGATTAATGAGCTGAGAGGTAGTGATGGTTAATTAAAAAAAAAAAAAGCTTTACTGGGGAAAAATTGGAATGTCAAGTTCTTACTTGTTTTCTGAGGTTTGAGGATGATGTATTTGTGAAGCTGTGCTTTGAAATGATCTTTTATCTAAAGAGGTTATGACTTTTAAACAAAACATTTCAACAACATGCTTTGAACATGTTTCAATAATAATTTCAGAAAAAACTATCATTGATCTTTTCAGGAGGTGAAGTGTTGGAATAGCCCAGCTTTTCCTCCAGTTTTTTGTTGTTGTTTTGAAAGAAGGTCATGCTGACATGAAAACAACGTTTTTCTTACCAAGCCTCAAAATAGTCATCTGACAATTCTGAGGGTTTGCTTTTATTTGAAATAGTGACTCATTAGAATAAGAAATCTACTCCAGCAGAAAGGGTACCTTGCAGAAAAAAGTTCATGAGTGTTAGAAGTAATTTGCAGCAGTGATATTCTTACCTGGAGTCCTTGCTTAAGTGTTTACAGGAGAAAGAGCAGAAAAGTCACCTCTTCAGTCTCTTGATCAAAGATATCACCTGAGTAGAGATAAATGGATTGTTAGCATGCATGCTGCATCTCCTCACAATATGCAGCTTTTCCTCATTTCTCCTCATGTTGAACTTGGCCTTTTTGACCTGTCTGCATTTTGTACCTTCTTTTACTTTCCTTCAGTGGCTGGGTTAAAAAGAATTACAATATAGCTGAACCTATTATTTCACTTTACCTTCATGTTATTTTTTCAAGTTAATATTAATTAACTGCTCAAACTGACAAAGACATAACAGAAGAAAAAGGATTTATCTGCCTTAAGTTAATTTAATATTCAATTACAAAACTGTAGTGAGAAAGAAACAGTGCTTTACAATAAAAACATTAAAATAGTTATAATAATAGTGCATAAATTTCTGCATAAAGAAAATAAAACCCTTCACAGGATATGTTGGACCGACCTGATGAGCATAGGGCAGATAAGAGAGAATATCCACTGCCAGGACATTAATAAGAAGGGAAGTTCAGTTTTAAAAGAGCCACAAGAAGAAAAACATGAATACCTCTTAATGCTTCTCATAGCAATGAAACAGCTGCTTAAATGGAAAATGAAAATCTAAAACATAAATGGAGTGTAACTTTGATTAAGGATTTGTTTTTCAAAGGCATTCATCTATGTTATAGGACTGGTAAACTTCAGTCCCTGTAGTGCAACATGTTCGTATTCTAGCTCAGAGTTTAGGGAGTACATGATGTTTTGATTGGAAACTGGATATAAGGAGACTCCTTCAAACAATAACCAAAATAAAGACACTGATGTGAGGAATTCGGCTGTGGTTTCCCATGCAGCTGAGGCAGTCTTAACAGCTCGCTGACCAAAAGGGAGCAATCCTGCTCTCCTCTCCCCAGCTTTCGCTGCTCCTGTCCCCGACCACCCCTCTCTTGGGCTGCCCTGCTGGCTTTCGGCTCCTTCCACGCACTGTCATGACTCACTAGAAGGCAGAAAGCAATGCAAGAGTTTTGCCTTTTTTTTTTCTCTCGCTTTGTCTATTTTCTGCCGTTTTAGTGAGTTAAATCAGCTCACAGAGAGGCCCAACCAGAGCCAACACAAGACAAGCACAAGACAAGCATTGGGAGCATGTGGCTCAGAGGAAGGGTTTGTGAAAGGCTCACTGCTCTTACTCTGTAGATTAATATTGAGCTCTCCCTAGAGAAGATAACAGAAAGAGTCTCATTGACTCCAACAGATATTTGATTAGTCCCACATTTAGGGAGGGAGGACGGACTCATATGCGAAGCCCATCTTTGTTCTTCCTGTGCTAGTACACATTTATGTACATAACTGTCTCTGGCAGCCAGTCATGTCTTCTGTGGTACATTATCTGTCTTGGTTAGGAAGCAATAGAGCTTATACAAAATTTGCTCTAAGCAAAGGCATAACTTAATAATCTACCAAAAGTCACAGCAAGTCTCATATCCTTCTCTTGCCCACAAAGTTATGTAACTAGAACAAAGAATTTATGAGTCACTTGGCTGATTCTCTGGTTGTCTGAACAGCCAGGTAAGGACTTCTCAATACAGCAGGATTTCGGCAGCTTTAATTTAGGGCAAAGCAGCCCAGCTGAAACCAGAGCCCATCCTTCATTTCATGGAGAATTTCAAACTACAGAAGGTTAATTATGGACAGCAGAAAGGTGAGAATGAACAGCAGTGGCACCCGTCAAACTGTAAGCTGTGCTAGATTTATAAACAAGCCCTGTATTCAATTAATGTTCTTGCCTTTGGCACACAGAACAAGTTTGCTCAAAAGCAGAAAAAGACTGACTAATACAAATCTGCACACTGCAATGCTTTATTCATTTTTTTCACATTGAACCAAGGCCCTAATTAGTTACATTAGTGTAGAACTAATAGCACATTTATTATAACAGTTGTTTCTTTCTTAAATACTTTAAATAAAGCCTACAAGTTTGACATCACAATGTGCTAAGAAAGTGAGAAATGCTTTCCCCGCTTTTGAGAAATCTCAGTTTAATCAGGCTGTTCATTTTTCTGTCTAGATGCTAAGCTGGAAAGATTTTCTCTTGTTTAGAATAAAAGATATCAGAAGCATTCATTCTTCTATTTTGGAAAGTGTTCAGGAGCAAATCTTTTCTAATCATTGATTCTGTAACGTTAAAGTAGCAGTGGCTGTACTTCAATTGGATGCTCCACAGTTCACTGTAAAGCTGAGACGGTTAAACAAGATACAAATACATCCACTGGTTTAAAAAAACATTCATGGGGCTAGGGGTAGAAATCCAAGATAATACTACCAAAATAGTGATGTGTATTAATGACATCAGCTATTAAATAATAAAGACCCAAATGCTCCAGGCCTCTTTTGCTTATTTGGCTTTGTATGTTATTCATGCCACTGAGACCATAACTAACAAAAACGGCTTCCATCCCTGCATGCTCTTTCAAAGTTTTATATGATTATTTTCTATTAATAAGAAAATGTCTGCCTACGATGACCCTTTGCCCTAGCCTGCACAGCTCCCTGCAGTAAGGGAGGCAAGAATCCAACGAGAAATACTGACTCCAAGTTTTTGTGTGATCACATTTGCTAATCACAGTAGCTGACTGTAATAACTAATCTAAGAGCTCCAGGAATACTTTGGAGTTATTACAGCAATAAGATACACTCTTGCACATCATGCAACATTTGACAAATATTAATGTAAACTTCACGCCCTGATCCCCTCTTTACATATGGCTATGAAAAGCCAAGGAGAGATCAAGCACTTCACACACAGAGAGAGCCTAGCTAAACCAGGAGTAAAGCCTGCATGCTAGTCCTTCCTCATTCGACTCTTTGACACCTCAAGCCCTCTTTTTAAAACACATTGCTGGTCTTATCTGCGTATGCATGGGGTGCAAGCAGCAAACAAGACTCCTGCTTCAGACAGAGACTTACAGCTGAATAGGTCAAAAAACAACCAAATGAAAACTAATGGTTGGCAACTTTTCTAAAAAGTGCGTTAAAGACTCTTTGGGAAAGAGAAAGGAAACACAAACGCCCGCTGCCATAGTGCCAGAGGCCGGGGAAGAGAAAGAGGCCTGGGTTCAAGTCTCTAAGCTTCGTTTAGGTGTCCTAACAAATGTAAATTAATGCCTTAATATAAAGCATATAAGTCCTCCTTAATGCACAGACTGTAACCCAAAGCTGTTTCCACACACCCCTGCTCCAGGTTTCCTAGCTGAATGCTCCAGTCTCTAGGTATCCAGTCACACACACTTGCAACCCCCTCGCCTTTCAATGCAATTTGATTTATTTTATGCAACATGGCACAGCTTCAGCAGAAGGGGGCTGTGAGTCAGCCTCCCTGCTCCGCGCTCCGGCAGCACCAGCCCCCAGCGGTTATCGCACTCCGCTTCAAGGCACGTGTGAGCTTTGCTCTCCTTCGCAAAACCGAAACGCTCCTGTGAGTGTACAACCTGATAAGCGTCCTTAAAAACACCTTCCGGACTGAGTGCTGCAGGGAAAAACACCTTGTCTGGATATGACACAGGACAAGGCATCGAGAGGTGCTAAACCACTCACTGGGGGGTTTTAAGATAGAAGAGCTTTTCTTTGGTCTGCGCTGAAGCCTTGCTCCCTGCGCCACGGAGGGGCAGAAACCTGAGGAGTTCAGCAGCACCAGAGCCAGGAGCTGGAGTCCCACGGCTTCAGACTTAAATACCGACTTTAGGTCCTGGCCCTTTACAAAAAATTATTTTGGAATACAAATGCAGAGATGTGTTTTTTTAATCAAGATATACATTTTTCCCTAAAAACTAGTTACTTTGTTCCGTTATTATCTGTACCTGAAATATGCAGGGCATTTGTTTAGGATCTGTAAAAATCTGTTTCTTATAAGCAGTTTTGCATTCTGTATTTATTAGCTACAACAGTCATAGAGAAAACATTGTCCTATCAAAAAGAATCATTATTACTTTATCAGACAGGATGATTACAACTAAGATAATCGGAGGCTAATTTGAGAGGAACCAAAAGGAAAGTGAAAGCGGGGTAAAAGTTAAATCAGTGCGCGCCCATGCTTCGAGCGGGAGCTCATGGAGGTTGATTTCTAGCAGAATTCTGACTCTTTGAAGGGCAAACGACCAAGGCTGCAGAAAAAAAGTGGAGACGCAGGAGGAGGAGAGAGGAGAACGCAGCATGGGAAGGAGCACGTTCGACCTGTTCTGCCAGAGGCACCCGCGGCACAGCTTCCCCACGCGCGCGTCCCGGCTCGGACCCCGCCGTTTCGCTGCAGGGATGAGTTTTGGCTGTCGCGGCAGGGCAGGCAGCATACTCCTGCTAGTGGGAAAGTGAAAAAAATTACCGCTCTGGCTCTGATATTAGAGGAAAGTGCTATCAAAACAGAGCGGTCTCTGCTGCACAGATGGGGTCATTTGGACCACAGGGCTGGCTGCTGGAGCGGCGGCTGAAGTCTTGGCGCTCTCTCCAGAGTTAGCGGTGCTACAGCTCCAAGGACAGTGCGGGTGGGAGCCCCAGCCACGTTTTCCAAACTCCCTCGCGGAGTATGTCCAGAAAGGAGCTGCCGTACAGAGACACTAAGCTAATTCTCAACAATACAGAGATGAAGCTAATTCTCAGCAAGTCTGTTCTGGAGAGAAATAGGGAGCCATTGGCCTGTGCCGTGCCAGTCAGCTGCACCGCTTCCAGTGTCCTTGCTAGCTCAAGTATATCCTCATTGCGTCACGGCAAACAAACGTACCTCTTCGCTTAGCTCGGCACGTCTGTTTGGGAACAGCAAGGCACTGCTGACAGTTTTTTTGGTCTCAGCACCAGCCACTGGCCTCCTCCCCAGGCACCGCCGTGCCACCACCGACGCTGCCTGGCCCCCGGCAGCTATTGCAGCACACACCTACCCGTCCCTTCCCGTCCCCCTGCATGGGCAGCAGGGACCAGGAGTCCCCTCTAGATCTGTGACAGTTTTTTGAGCCAGCTCCGATCAGCCTGGGGAGGAGAAGATGACTGCTGAAACAGGAGGAACAGCTG